GAGAGACAGGGACCTGTGGAAGCAACAAGAAAGCTAATAACGGTGTAGGTAGAGTGCAAGTTATGAATAGTCGGCAGCGGAAACCGGCACCCGGGAGCGAGTCAATGTCAAACATAGTTATCACCCGTAGCAGCTGCATACAGTCACTATATAGGTGCCACCCACACCTCTGCGCCCATGAACGTACTTATCCACTGCTCAAATGGAATCCGTGTTCCATCCGGGGTTTGAAACTGCTTTGTACTGCAATCTCTTTTTCACCGCACGACCAACGATGCAACAGGAAGCCTCAATTCAGTTCTCACGCCTGGCCAGAGCTCAACGCAGTCCAACGATGCCGTGAGTTCAAGGGAAAACTTTTGCACTGCACCGTTTGTGAGCTGCACATAGCTAGAGCCTGGGGAACAAAGTTCCTTTATGTCCCAGCATTTTATTTATTCAAAACCATGAAACACTGCTAGAGCGTTTTCTTATTGCTTAGTGAGCTTAGAGCTTACTGGAGGTTTTCTTCGTTGTGGCCTCAGAGGGGATTGTGTCGTTAAGAGGTGTCTTTTACGGGAACAGTCCATTCCGGAGGAAATGGAATGGATGGTCATCAGGAGAGTTATGGATATGTGAAGGAGCTTTTAGTTCTCAATTTAAGGCTTACCGTAACGCCTTCCCTCGCAGTAGCCCTACATTGTCAGCCTTGAAATACTTAAGTACTGATTTATTAGTTCTCGCCCAGATATTCCAGGATTACACAAAACCAAAGTCTATCTCAATTTATGGCTTTATCCTCGATGGCCACGATGTGGGCTGGCCCACTCTATCACCGTTCACACTCCAACGGACACTCTCGAAACTATTAACACAACAACCCGCTCATTCTCCTTCTTCCAAACGAATAAATCTACTCCCAATACGGAAAATCTCCTTAGAGTCCCAAGATTGCAATTCATGCCATCATGGGAACGGAGCAGAGCCTTTGACCTGTAGAAGGAGAATAACTGCCAAAAGCCTCCCGCCCGTCTGGAAATCCACACCTCCCTATTAATATTGCACCTAGAGGGCGTCGTCGTCGTTGTTGTCGACGTTCCGGAACGAAGCCAGAATGTAATAATAACGCCCAGATTATGCTGTTGTTTATTGAATTGATTACACACACACACACGCACACGACTTTCTACTTGGTTCTTTGGTTTCTTGGTTGGGTTGAAGTCCCAAGTTGATTCGGTGGATGGATGAGGATGCTGGTGAAGGGGAAATCAAACTTGACGATCGGGGGTTGTATACAAGTTAACTCGTTTACCATCCCTTAGGTGGGACTGGGTTGCCATGGAAGCTTGTTTTCTTCTGATTTTAAGAATCATCTTTACTCAAGGTTTTTTTTTTGGGGGGAATGTTCGTGACGGACGAAAACGTAGCTTAAAACGGTAAACCTGGCAGTTGACGTCGGGATACCCGAGCAGGAACCGATAGCTAATCGATTACAAATCAATATCTTAATGTGGTATGATACCAGATTTCGGTATGCTTGTGGTATAAAACCTTGTTTTCTGAATTTTAGCTAAAATATGATAGATTGATCATAACAAACAATTATACATTTGGCGTGGAACTGCTCTCCGGAAAGTTTCTTCCGATTGCTCCAGGAAATTTCGGTCAGCTTGCCCCGAAATAAGTTTCTTCCAGCTTCTCCAGGAAGTTTTCTCCGACTCGCCTAGAACACCTTCGGCTTCCCCTGGTAGTGTCTTTCGATATTTTTAGTCTTTATTAGAGAGACTTTCAGATCTACCGAAAATTGCATCTGACTTTTCCCAGTCTCCCAGAAGATTCTACCAGCTTGCTCCAAAAGATTCTACTGGCTCCTGCGGATGGTTTCCTCTGATTATCCTTAGTAAATCAAATTCGTACATTTCCACCGAATTTGTAAACCTGATGCATTTTAGTGGAAATGTAGGTACGTTAGCATGACTTCTCTACAAAAATAGCTGTTTATTGGGAAGTTAATCCAGTTTCCCGGTTTTCGGAAAATGTAAATTCTGGTAAATTCTCCGGGAATAGATTCCGGGGATGAACTGGGTAGGAAACACTAAGTGTAAGGACCGCATTTTTGTACACGCTTGCACTTATGCTTATCCTGAAAGCAGGAATCGACTAAAAACTCAGAGTGATGCAAAAAACTACAAGGGACAGCCCTATGGGGTTGTATGCAATGGTGACGTAGGACAACGTGGTCTTATATCATAAATGTTATTTGTTAACTGCAGCAGGCGCTTGTGTTTTGTGTAGGAATAGGAATTTGAGCGGGGTTCTCTGTTTATACTCTTTAGTATGACGCGCTTGAAATAGATGGCCCATAGCGGCTCATGAAGAGCTCCTGATTCCAATCAATAGCGGTGCGGCTTCTTCATCCTTCTATGGATGCTCATGTGGGCTGCAGCTCGCTGCTTGATGGCAGCCTTTCTTTGTGTACTGGAGAACAATGTTAACGCCACTTGCCAAATGCACTGCTGCTGCTGCTCCCGACCGGACAACACCACACACGGTGATTGGAACTGCATTCGATCAGCGGTTGCGGGCAGCCTTGATAGCTAGTTGCTTGCGTGGACCTTTCGTTGTGTACTGGAGAACACCACCACTCACCACGCGATTATTGAATAAACACCGTATGGTGAGACCGGATGGAATTCAACTTTGAAATCTGTGTTAGGGAAATCGCTTTTCGCAGGCAATCGGTGATAATTTTAATTATCAAAGCAACAGTAACACATTCGTGCAATTTTCAATAGTGACATTTTGAAAAATTGTAAAGTCTTAAACGCGTAGAAATATTTCTGATCGATTGGTGTTAAAATTATTAAAATTGGTCCAGGGGCAGCTGACTAATTAACGTTCAAAATCTTTCATAATTTTGTTACATGTTCCATTTTCGGTTTTCACAAAGTGTACCCCCATATAGAAATCACAGACGTAGTCCTACGTCAAAACACTGGTGTTACTCTAAAATATGAGAGCGCGTCCCTTATATTTGGAAGGAGAAAGAGACTAAGGAGAGAGAGAGATTTCATATTTAGGAGAGAGTAGTTGGACAACTCAGGTGCTACTTGCGTATAGCACAATCGAGTAGTGCACGGTGTTATGACGGGAGTTGCACTTTTCAATCGGGAGAGACTGACAGTGGAACACATTTTGGTAGATTGCCAGGTGTTCAGCAATCTAAGAAGTCTCTACGGTATACCGAATAGCATAAGGAACGCCCTCTCGAATGACCCTTCAACCGAAGCAGCAGTCATCTGCTTTATTAAAGACGCCAATCTTTATGAAAGTATTTAAGCCCAATGACTGACACGACCACCAACAACCCGCTATCGACACTGACTACCGACTATGACAAATTACTTCTACCTAAACTACGCCAGCAACTGTGACACTACTCAGCTATTATATGTGTACTATTGTTTGAACCTGAACTCCGAGCTCTGAAAAAAAAACTCTGTATTAGGGAAACCTCCTTCCGAGGCCCACTTTCTAGCCGGGGACCTCCCTCTGGGGCCCTAAATACCAGACTCTGTTATTTGGGGCACCCCCTTCTGGGGTTGCCAGAGATGAACCAGCCGATGGCTGAAAGTCTCTTTAATAAAGAAAGATAAGATAATCGGGAGAGACGTGGCTTAGAGATTTACAAGAATGGCTGCATATTTTAGGCTGGGTTCAGAATATGTTTACACTCTTATACTATATGCTGCAGTGACTTTATGGTATTCAAAAGCGTAGGAAAATGCAAATTTTTATGCTTTTCTATCGGAAAAACAAAGAGAGAGAGAGAGAGAAAGAGACTTAACACTGTTGGAGCGGCAGCTCTCCAACACAAGAAGAATGAAATGTGCTGCACGATTTAAAATGCTCTTTCACGTCTTTTTGGAAAGAAAGTGCAGTCTCGCAACAGAGTGTGTTTCACTCGCAAAAAATTGAGTAGCACCCGATCCCTGCCTGAAAGCAATAAATTTTTACAAATCACAATTTTTTTACATGTCACGTAGCACGTCCCAATTATTCCTAGCATATTCCGAATGTTCATGTTTAAAGGTTTAACAGAGACTTAAAGAATCGAAAGTTTTGTAATAATTGAAAGGTTTATGTTATGAGCTTTCTATTCCAACCAATGCATTATTTTTTTTAATATTGTGTAGCAAGCAGCGTTGGCAGGTCATTTTCAGGAAAATCTGGGCCAGTTATAAAGTGACTGCTGGTTAACTGCAGTCATGCCAGATAATGCTGGATAAAGTATTTTGAGGTCTCGTGGTAGGAATACATGCTCATGATTCATTGATTCTTTGATTTACGCAATGTTTTAGACAATGATTGACGTTCACCAAATTTTCAAAAGTATTTTGTTTAAAATCAATAGTTCTACCCATTAGAATCGATACGTAGAGAAAATTCCGATCGATTGATGTAAAAGTATTGAAAATGTATCATGAAATAGCCGAGATATAATCGTTCAAAACCTGACCACTTTTCGTTACATGTTCATCTTTCGTACTCGCAAAGTATATAAGTATATAGAAATCATTGAAAAGATAAATGGCCATCGAAGTGCCAAAGAAGCATTCAATTTATTAAATGGTAATAAAACGACAAAATATATAGGACTGTTTAAGGGAATTAATACTAAATTACTTATTAAGCGTTCCGATTTTCCGGTTTTCCAACTCAACTATGAATATGAATATCCCATCCCCATTTGAAAATACAACTAAATTTTCTACAAAATGTTGTCTGCGTCCACTACTCCCCCTTTTGGCATCCATCAACGCACGCTACAGAACTTCAGTCGTGCTCTCAGCTATTTGATCTGCTCAGCAAGCTCAAATTGATCGTTAAAACTGTATTGCGGTTACATGTGTTACCTTCTGCATGATACGTTGTATTTTGAATTCCAAACAATTATTTACAAATGCCATCGTCCTCTCTCGCAGTTTTTCCACTACATAGCATTTATCTCTTCCGCACAGCACTTTTATATAAAGATCCAGTAGCTTTTGTAAACGCACCACCACCGGCCAGCCCCCCCTGACAGGAAGCAACTATAGCGAAAAACAGTGAACGATAGTGACAAAACAGTGTAAACTGATGGTGACAATAATTTAGCAGCCAACGCATCCAGCACCAGTAACCCCCAGAACAGCCAAACCGGAACCCATTCGAACAAAATAACAAAACACAAATCCAATGCCACACAAGCGGCGTGCTGATGTCTTCCGGCGTTCCGAACAGAATTCTAAAGATTTCCTACCGCTCTCTGCAGTCCACCATTACCACCATTACTACCACCGAAGGCTGCCCTCGGCCGATCAGCTGCTAGCCCTACGCGCAGCCAACTCTCGTCCACCCTCGAACCTGTACGTACAATAATCCCTGGAGATGGCGAAGGTTTCGGCAACCTCCCACCAAGATCCTACCGTTATCGACATGATGGAGATCAGCAAGAAGCGACCACCGAAGCTAAAGACCGCCGACCGGACCGTATCGATGCGAATCGACAACTACTCGCCCGGTGCGGGAGGTGGCGGTGGCGGTGGCGTCATCGTCGGCGGTGCCACCAGTCCCATAATGCTCGACAACAGCCTTATCGTGCACCACAGTCCCATCGAGCGGCTCTCGCCTGTTTCGCATCTGAAGCAACATCAGTCCGATCCGAAGGTGTTCTTTGTGAAGGAGTCTTCCCCGACGTCCCTCAAGGTGGAAGGCTACAGTCCCAATCCACGGAAGCAGATACGTCGCTCGGATACGCTGCACGTATACTCACCGTCGATGCACCAACTGCGGAAGGCTACGTCGTTTCACTCGAGAAGCAATAGTGGAGGTTCGAATCCGGACGAAATTGTGGCCGCACCCATTATACGGCACAGTAGCGTCCGGCACTCGCACATCTACCCTCGCGAGTATCTGGTCAAGCAGGACAGTGGCGGTGGAACGAGCAGTGGTGGTGGTGAGGAGGAGGAAGAAATTCGCCCAGCTCCAGCCTTTGTGCACTCTCCGAATGTCAGTGGGAATCGAAGGAACTGTCACATGCATCGGTCGTTCAACGATCAGCAGAAACGGAATGCAGCGTTCCAGCGCAGAGATTCCACCAAGTTCCACTCACTCGGAGACGACATGCCTGCGGAAGTCGTGGACAGAAGTCCACGGGAATCGAAGAAGTTCAGTTCAGCTAACGCGTCGCTCGAGAACGAAATCTATCGATCGCGAAGCAATAGCCGGACGGAGAAGAAAACCGAATCCTTTTCGGATTTCGTCACTCGCCAGAACAGCAAGAAGTACAATCAAAAGAACAGCACTACCAGTTTAGATCAAGCGTTACCGTACATTGGCGGCAGTGGGGCCGGGAGCTTCCGCCGAACAGTCCTACAACATTCCAATGCACACTTACTCAGTCCTAATCCGCCCTTTACTGATGATTTCAAACCGCAAAAATCACCCATCTTCGATCAGAAGAAATCCTACAGCCTTCGATACAAGAACGGCCGAGACGCTCGAGAGACGTTCAAAGCGAAAAAGTCGAAAAGTTTCATGATAGATCTGGAACCACCGCCGGCGATCATTAGCGGTGCGAGCAGTCCCTACCGAAAAGATAGCGTTTCCTTCACCCCGGAAGAGGTGGACAAAATCTACAAGGCCTCTCGTAAGCTCTCACCCAACATCATACTGGACGATATCGGCCGGGAGATCTCCCCGGTCCCGATGGACATCATGGACATCAACTATGGCGTAATCATGAAGACCTACCAGATGAACCGGGAAAAGTCGATGCGAAAGAGCCGACGAAAAACGGACGACAAGAAGCTGGAGTTTGACGAAGACAGTGAGTCGAACAGGAAACGGAAGCGGATAGCCTGCATCGTGATGTCCGTGTTCATAGCCTTAGCGATATTCAGCATCCTGGCAGTGATCGTAACGCTGACGCACACCAGTGCCGGTCCGTCGCAGACAAAGCCTACGTACACGTTCGCCCGGGAAACGCCGATCCACGCCATTCCGAACTACATCGTATCGAAAGAGTCACCCAAACACTACAATGGCATCAATTGATGCGGTAGCAATCGTAGTAGGCCCTTCTTCCGAACATCGTCACCCTGGTGGGCGGAGATCGTCGACGCAGCAGGCTGCGATCTGGTGACGGTTCACTTCGTAGAGCTGTTTAGTTAGCAGTGTTTGTAGTGTGGTTTAGACTACGTTGATTTGAGATGATCTTTAACAATATCCAACGAAGTGCCAAGGACGACCCCGGAGCGGCTCCAATGCCGTTTGAGGGCGGCCACTCTTTTTTACTCATGTTTCAAATAACAAAATCAAAAAAAAAACAAAACGGAAACTCACTATACAGGAACGAACAACTGAAGCGCAAGTGGTGTTAATTAGTGTACCGAAGCGAGAAACAGAAACCCGTGTCAACAACTTCTGATGCAAAACAACACACATACGATATACGTGACTAGCGTTAACTAATGTTTAACAAGTAATAATCAGTATTTTAAACCGGTGAAAAGTAAACATAACCAATAAATAACCAACCAGTAAAACCAGTAGTATGATAACGTTAATGTAAACCAAGGTGAAGTTACGATAAACGACATACAGTAAACCGAAAAGGAGCAGTTAAATGATATAGTAATCTAATAAATAAAACCATATTATAATACACTCCGAACACGGAACCCTACTAACGAACAAAAGATAGAACTACGGAGTTACATTGAAATGGAAGTCAGGCACAGTTATGCAAAACATAGAACTTAAATCAAAACAGAAGCCAACAAACAGATAATCAAAACAAAAACAAAATATCTAATTAATTAACATAAACATAGTCAAAGAGAAAACCGAAGCAAAACCCGCATCCAACGAAGAAACTAAGCAAGAAAAATACAACACACACGCATACACCATTACGCAACAGCAACAACAACAACAATGAAAGAAGATAATCTGAACTCGAACCTTTGTAAACCTCTTTACCACCGCCAACAACAAGTGAAACTCTACCAAAACCGTACAACTCTATATTGTGAACAAATCTTACTACGGCTGTATTCGATTCAGTGAACTACTGGGTGTATTTTTTTAACGTGCGCGTGTATGTGTGTATGATGCCAACAACACCCATATGAATGTTTGCGCGTGTCCTGAACAAACAACCACCTTCCCCTACACAACAACGACGATGACGATAACTGGGGAGCCTGAAAGCAAAGAAGAAGAAGATAAAAAGACCAACTATGCGACCCGCACTGAACCCGCGCTCACACAAACGGATAGTGTTTCCTTTTGGGATCCAACTCCGCTCTGTTGCTTCTTTTTTTTATTATTATTTTTGGTTTGATAGCTACCATGCTTTGTTTGTGTTTGCCTCCGAGAAATGGAGCAAGTGTGATGTTTTGTGTGCTGGAACAAAGCGATGCCGAACAGCTGGTCCTTGCGGCAGGGGGATTACCGGTGTTCCCAAGAACCCCGCGCAGATGAGGGCATGGGACGAAATGGATGCCCTCTTCCTTGGGATACAAGGAAATGCCACAGGTAAATGAGATTATTGTTCTTCAGTGTTTGGTTTTAAAGCATAATCGGTTTATATACAGTAGGTTGAAGATGAACCTGCCTCTGGCTGGGTGTTTCCTGTATAACGGTGAGGATGGAAACAGAATAGCTTTACTACAGTATAGGTGGAATGTTTCGTAATAAATCACTCGTTTGGGATGAGGCGTAGTGATCATTTCAATAATTATGGTCAGGAATGAAAACAAACTATGGGAAAGTTCTATGTTTATTACTAGATCTCCAAATAGCAGTAATGTTGATAAATTATCTAAATTGGTAGTCTAAAATAAGGTCAAAAATAGTTAAAAACAGTTATGAATTCACCTGACCTGGGAAAAACATAATTGAATTTATTTTCATAAAACGCTGTGCCAGTGCACAGTGGTTCAGCAGGGAGAATTTCAGGAAAATAAATAAAAACGTGCCTGATGATGAAGTTTAATCCGTTTGGTGTCTTGAGAAAAGCTTTTAGTTGAAATAAGACGCACACACTTAGAAAAACTCATGTAAATTTAGGTGCTCTGAGCGTGACATATACGACCGTCAATTTTGACATAAATTTGAGTCATAACAGACGCGAAATATAGCTTAATCAAACGTACTTTTCGTCGAGCAACAAACTTTTCAGTCTCGGAGCACTTAATATTACATGACATGTTTGTTTACGTCTCATATTTTATGTCAAAGATGGATTCCGTCACTTGTAAAATTAGTTATTTCTAAGTGTGCATCTCCAAAAATTATACTCAATGGGACCCCACTTGAAAATTTAACATGTTTGACTAAAATATTCTACAAAATGGAAGAAAATAGGTTAAAATCGGTTTTTGTATTTAAATGTTTCGTTTTATTTTTTTACAAGGCATACTAGGATGTATGTCGCTAACTTCGGTCTAATAGAGTCCTTCAAGTACATTTTATGTCGTATCGTATGTAATAATTGACCTGCAGTTGATATTTTACTGTCAACATGCAAATTTAGATATCCTTATAATTTGCATATTAATTAGGCACGACTGAAAATTGTAAAACTCACCATTTTAACATGAAAACTTTCCAGGTACGTGGATGTAATGTCGGTCTACTGTCAGGCATGGAAAATCAATTAGATATTTCGTGCATTCGTTTACATTCATTTGCCACTAATTTTTTTCATCAACAGAATCCCTTAAATGGTGTTTGAAGCTTTTGTAGGTTATATGATTAGCTAAATCTGTATCTCTTATGCCTAATGAACCAGAGTAAATAAAATCCACCATTGTTTTTCAGCGAATGTAAATTACATTCACTTAAAAACAATAACAAATTCTGCTCGCTCTAGTCCGTAATGTATAAGACATACAAATTTGAGTATTTGACAAAAATAATAGCTAATCATAGAATCTACATATCTAAACAACCCAAAGGGAACGTCATTTTATTTTTTGTTTCAGCTACCGGAAGTTTCCCTGATCTACCAAAAGAATAAAAAAAAACTTGAAAGAATAGAATTTTCGGTCATGTGGAGATCTATTGAATAATCCCTGATCTACTAGTAGCTTGCATCTCAAAAGAATGCTTACGAGACGTCATTGATTTTTTAAATCAGTCCAAGCTCTTCATAATAATATTTGATCTACTTGAAGCCATCATTTCGAGAGTCGTCTCTTGTACCTTCAATCAGTTGGAGATCTTCAAACTAGCTAATCGTCATGAAGTCATTCGGTTATTTGAATAATCGCTGATTCTGCTGACACAGTGAATCATATCAAGCTGAACATTGCATTAGGTCCTAAGAAACATTTATCGCTTCTCTTCGTCGACTTTCTCTTTCGTTAATAACTTGAGCACAGAACCGTTTCTTGATGTGTTTGTCGTATTAGATGCTAGAAAAAAGCTTCTTTTATCGATCTGGGTGCTGAAAATACCTGGAAATGTCTTTACATGGCCGTGGGGATGCAAAGAGAAAGTCGACGAAGAGAATCTGTCAATGTTACTTAGGACCTAATGCAATGTTCAGCTTGATATGTGAAGAATTATCTGATTGAATAGTTGATCAGTAGAAGGTCTTCTGAATAATTTATCAATCTCGTAAAAATCGTAAAAAAATATCCATGGGACTTTGAAATTCTCCAAAGTTTAATGATCGTCTCTGAACTTGCATTAACTTCAAAAAAATTTGGCAGTACTTAGAAGAAGTACCATGAACCGTGGGGCAATATTGAGAGCAGAGTTCTGCATTTTCAAAACAAAGAAAAGAAAATTAACTCTCCGCAGAATCGCTTCATTTCGAACAATATTATTTTTGTGTAAGTCATTGTGTTTCGTATTATCGAGTCACGATGAACATCCCTCCTGTCAAACACGACTTGGATATCGCTTGTTTTGGTCGTCAAGTTCAGCAGTTTATTTCTTTTGAAACAAAGACTTGTTTCAACTGACGTCATGAATGACTCGAAAACTGCGCCCTTCGTTTTTTTCCACTTTCACTGCAATTCAGGGCTCATTCGACTTGTCACGTGTTGCGTCATAAGGCATCAAAATAAAGTGTCCGGATAGTATCCGCACAATATCGGTTGCCAATAGGGATGGCATCCGTGTAATAATAAATTGTAAATTAACGAAGCCCTTCTGGAGTTCAAGATGGTGGCCATCGGGCTCAGGAAAAGTCTCGAATACCATAAGATATGGGTATTTTAAGAACGGGCACGACGCGTAGATGCCAAAAATCGATATTCAACGCCTTTTTGGAATCCAAGATGGCGGCAATCAGTTTTCAGAAGAATACCCCACGAATATGGATATTTTCGGAACGGAGACTTTTGATGCCGAAAATCGATATTCGACACCATTTTGGAATCCAATATGTTGGCTATCCGGTTTCAGAAAAGCGGATATGGATATTTTCGGAACAGGGACAACGCGTGGATGCCGAAAATCGATATCCGACGCCATTTTGGAATTCAATATAACGACCATCGGTTTTCACAAAAAGGGTCAAACACACTAAGATCTGGGTATTTTCGGAACGGAGGCGATAGATGTTGAAAATCGAAATTTGACGCCATTTGTAGGGTATCATATCAGATATTCTTCTGAAATCCGATTTAAAAAATAGACACATTGATTGGTTTCTGGCCTCTAGACGTTACTGTGATTTCAAAATTACCACATTGATCGGTATTTGACAGTATTTCACACTTTTTCTAAAACCAGAAGTCACCATCTTATATTTCACGATGGCACCTGTCTTCAATTTTCGGCATCTACGTGTCATCCCCGTTCCGAAAATACCCATTTTTAAGGGTATTTGACACTTTTTCTGAAATCAGAAGCCGACGTCTTGTATTTAAAAATGTCGTCGGATATTGATTTTCATTCTCTAGACGTCATCCCGATTCCAAAAATAACCATATGGATGGGTATTTGACAGTATTGCCACTTTTTCTGAAATCGGAAACCACCTTATTTTATTTTTAAATTACTTCGGATATAGATTTTCAGCCTCATGATGTCATCCCGATTCAAACAATACCTATATTAATGGGTATTTGACAGTATTTCTCACTTTTTTTTAACAAGAAGCCACCATTTTGGATTTTAAAATGGTGTCGCACAGTATTGGCAAAATCATCAATCAAATAATATCTTTCCGCTCTCATACGGTACGGAACAAAATATCATGCTTGATATTGTTTTACAAGCTCCTTCGATATTGAGGGACTATTCACAACACGCAAAAATCAAGCTGAGAGCTGACTCGACACAAACATGATTCCGTTCCACATCGTTTTCTTATAGCGAATTCGTTTATTATCGGGGTTAACACCAGTTCCAACCCAGTGCGAAACCGAACCTTTTGTCAGTGTGAACCTCAACCTGAGCTAGGTTTTAAAAACAAACGAGCAAACTGACGTTTGTCAGAAAACAAGCAGACCC